TTGGAGCGGGACCGCTGCTCCCGAGGGAGCGCACCCCGTAGCCGGGTGCAGTGAGTGCCTTGGGGCTGGGTGGCCTGTCCTCTGGACGGGCTCAGCCCCGGCGACTCACTAGGGTGCCTGCCCAGACCAATGTCTCCCCCTATATCCTATCATCCTCCCGGCTCTGAAATGGTCTCATTGGACCGAAAGGGCCTAACCCAACAAAACAAACATTGCCTGATTGTCGAAAAGTACTTTTGGAAACCTCACAGAAGACGAAAAATACAACTACTTACTACTTTTTAGAAGTTTTGACGGTTCTACTTTACCCTGCCGGCTGTGCACATACTCGTATGTATAACGTACGGTGACGATCAATTCAGTGACAGAAGTTGGACCGTCTTCACAATACCCACAGATAAAGAGGAAATAAGGTATTCACGGTGGTTGTAACTGATATAAATGGGAAAGGCAATGGGAGCGTGTTGTTTTTATATTAAAATTGGTTACACATGTGTGTAACCAATTTTAATATAAAAACAACACGTTCCCATTGCCTTTCTCATTTATATCAATACGTCTATGTAATAATAATAGTGGTTGTAACTATTGAACCAATTTATAAAGACTTAGGCCTTTACAGTGTACTAGATGCAATCTTGTGTTGCTAATCGAGCTTCGCAGTCTGCATACAGCCAACAGGCTGTTTGTAATGACGCAAACATTCCTCTTTGGCTTTCCAATTAAAGGGACCCTCCCACCTTCAAAAAAGTTAATGAATTGGCATAAAAGTGATGTCCCTTGGTTCAGAAAGATCAAAAATGAGTATCTACCAAATTTCACCGAAAAATATTCACTGGTTTTCAAGATATTAGGTTTTTACTTTTGTTTACTTTTTGGGATCTTCCCTGTTCCTAGCGACTTTATTTGGAAGCAATAATTTGGCAGCCTTGAAGTGCGGCAGACGTTGCGCGCAAATCAGTGTATACCACCACGTGTTAAAGGGACTATCCCACCTTCTAAAATGTTGTTAAAACCAGTTAAATTGTGCCCGACTTTATAGATTGGATGACCAGGAACACGGTTCTGGCATTTATTTTTCATTAAAAACATCTTAGGCTTCCCATATTCCAAACACAAACTTTCAAATATGTGACGTCACAGCCCAAAATTACCTCCTTGCCCAGGCCACATTACTGTCATAAAGCTGATTCTTTTTACTCTGTAGGCACCACAACAAAGTTCAGACCAAGTTTTAACCCGCGCCGGGCCGGTGCTCTGAGATTCCGCGCCGGGCCGCGGGGGGTGTCTGAACACCCCCCCCCCCTTCTAACTCAGCTCCTGGGCCACGTAGCGACACGCGGTAAGCGGCAATCGAAAGAACTTCAAAAATAAGGACGAAAACACTTCGGTCATTTTTTGGGGTCAGGTCAAAGGTCAGGTCACCAGAGGTCACCAAAGGTAAAATGTTGACTATTTCAACATTTTGGAAACTGCCAACGGCTATCTCGGGAACCGATAGAGCTACAGCGCCGCAAAAAAGCGCATTCGATAGCCCTTTTACAGACCTTTCTGAGTATTGTTCTCAGATTTGACCTCAGGTTAACGGTTTAGCCTCCAGAGGGCAAAAACTCCAAAAATAGCCGTTTTTACGAAAATTGGTTTTTCGGCGATACCTTTTGACTCAAAAGAGCTATGACATTACTTTTGCCAGCATCGTGTTTCTCTCGTCGAGACGCGTCGAATGAACTATAAGCTGACCTTGAAAGGTCAACTTGAAATTTGAACTCAGGTCAAGGTCATGACCTGACCGGAAAAGGTCATGTTGCATATCAGTCGATCCGCAACGTCGAGCCGAACACATCTAAGGCGTTTTCAGTGCTCTAGCACGCCTCTATCAGAAGTTATCATCGAAAAACTGTTAGATTCTGTTCGTGACCTGAAATGACCTCGGGGACATAACGAGGGGTCACAGTTGCCATTTTCTGGTTCAGTGTGTCTATTTTACCTACATCTCGATGTTTGAGCGTGTCTAGAATAGCGTTCGTGCAAAACAGACGCTTTTCAATTTTCTCCCATTGACTTATAATGGAGAGGCCGCAAAATTGACCTGACCTTAGGTCACCGATATCAAAATTCCGAGATATACATTTTATAGATAGTGTTGCTCTAATCAACCGCTGAAAGTTTCAAGGCAATCGTTCAGTCGGTGTAGCTATGACGAGCATTCTTATTTTTTCTGAGGTGAGGTCACTTGGCGTGACCTGGTGACCTGACCTAAGGTGACCTGGGTCTGAAATTTTCACAACATGTGCGGAAAAGATGCAGGAACAGGTGTGCCAAAAACGGCGGCGCTCCGCGCCGCCGTTTTTGATATATCTGCGAAAAACCGCAAGGGGGGGTGTTCAAACACCCCCCCCCCCCGGCCCGGCGCGGGTTAAGCGATTTTTCAACGAACAAACCCATTTAAATCAGAATGACTAAACGAGGTGACGTCACACTAACGGTCGCTCCATGTTGAAGATAGGGCCTTGTACAAGGCCCATTTTCAAATGAAGGGAACGAATTTCTTCAACACCAAGAGGCCGCGGGGGTTGCAACCTAGATTGATAGTGGTTTCTGAACCTCGCCGCAAACTTGGCTATCTCAACTCAAACCCCATGTTAAAGGTGGGATAGTCCCTTTAACGATGATTTCAGTCTAAGATTTAAAAATCGTTAGATCACCGCTGACGTCACAAATTCTAAGGGGGCATCCCAATGCATTAGCCCCTTAGAATCCAAAAACTGCAAGTTTGAAATTCCATATCTCCGAATTAAAGCATTTTTCGATGTTGTGAGTGTCCAAACCGGTATTTGCAGGCCATGGCCACCAATTTGGCTGTCTCAACTCAAAACTAATGTTAACCCGCGCCCCACTGGGGGGGGGGGGGCTATTTATAGCCCCCCTCCCGTTTTTCTGCAATAACTTCCAAACCGCTTGACGTATCAACGCCAAACTTTCAGCACCTTCGGCTGCATCAATTTGACACCTTGTGTCAAAATTTGAACTTCGTACCTACCATAGGTCGGCCGGAAATGACGTCAGAGTGACGTTATGTTCGGCCGATTTCGACGCAAAACATTGAACTACGGCATTCGCTCCCAAGAGCTCAGTTTTTAAGCCAGATCCAATTTCTTTGCATGAGCGGACTCAGAATAGACTGCGCTATCAAACTGCTATCTCGGATTTTTAAAATTTTGAAAATTTCGAAAATTTTATATAATAAAATTCAAAATTTATATTTTTACATTTTTTTTCAAAAACTTTTTGACTTTTCGAAAAAACCGGAATATATGTGATAGAACGCATTATTATGACTAGGTGTAGCAAGTTTTAGCTAAATATCTTCAAAAATGGCCAAGTTATACGCGTTATTGCAAAAAATTAACAATTATTAATTTTTCAAATCAATTTTTCAGCACAAATTTGACATCGTACGCCAATATAAATAGCACCATCGTGTTCCTGAGCTCAAACTGCATCCAATAGACACCTTTTTTGTTGAAAAATTATAACTTCAAAATTTGACCTTTTTTGACCTGAAAGTGACCTGACCTGAGCTAAATTTGACTCAAAATGACCTCGAATGACACAGACGACATCAAATTCGAAATGTTTGGCCTAAATGGACCATAAAACATGTGTCACGTGACCGACGGATGATATAATATTTTCGTGACCTGTGATGACCTGACATTGACCTGAAAATCAAAGTACACGTTTGGTACCCCCAGAGTATCTAGAGCATCCGTTCACGAGTGTGTGAACCAAAAATGAGCCTGATCTGACTTGTAAGACGGCGGCCAGAGCCCAAAACGTGAAGAAGCCAAAATGCTAATGATTTTTACGTTGACCTGACCTGTGACGTCATCGGTGACCTCGAGGTCAATGAAATTAGGTTTCGTTCGACAGTTTTTCCGGGGCTATCAGACGCCGTTTGAATTTTGACGATCGGCCCAGTAGTTTCGGAGTTAGGAGGGGGGGGGCTATGAATAGCCCCCCCAGTAGGGCGTGTTATACGCAGACCCCAGTGGGGCGCGGGTTAAGGTGGAAGGGTCCCTTTAACCATTTCGTTGACTCAGATGTGCACTTGTCAATATACCATATCATCATGCATGCTGCGCCAAATACCGGTAATATGAAAGTACGACATGATAAGATGGTTGATCTTACATTATCATTATGCTGGAGCCTATAGGATAACGGCCCCTGGGGGTGACACTAGTGGCCCCTGGGGGCGACACTAGTGGCCCCTGACGGTAACACTAGCGGCCCCTGGTGGTGACACTAGCGGCCCCTGACGGTAACACTAGCGGCCCCTGACGGTAACACTAGTGACCCCTGGTGGTGACACTAGCGGCCCCTGGCGGTAACACTAGCGGCCCCTGGTGGTGACACTAGCGGCCCCTGGTGGGGACACTAGCGGCCCCTGTATTGTGTATAATATGAAGATTGAGGGAGGTACCCTCGACGAATCCGTCATCTATCACTGCTATATGCAAATTCAATCACCATTCGAAGTCATCTGCAAACATCATCGCCACCATACTTCTTAGCATCCTCGTGCGGCATTGTCCTGCCGATATGTTTCGTGTATTTCTGCAAACATTTCTACGCCTCCCGGCAGGCCATACATAACGTGAGTCATTCTCCGAAAACGGGTTACATGAATGCCTGTATCAGGCTATGAGGCGCGGCACTCCGAGCTCCGGAGGCTGGTGCTGTCTCAGCCCCCCCCCCTGAGCTCGGACCCCCTCGGTCGATCTGAATCGATAGTCAAACTGCGCTGTAGCCGGCTCTGGTTATTTCTGGTTTGCAGCTAACGGTAGCGGCGGCGGCGACGCCACAGCTCAGTTCACGGGACGGCCACCAGTCGGCGCTACCGTCGTGACGGGTCGAATCGAACCATGGGCTGGATACTAGCGCCATCTGAGCTCTGACGACCTCTCCTGGGCTCCTGTCCTGGCGGCGGGCTCGTCATTTACCATTGGGAGACTGTGGCCGCTAGTTGTGGTTTCTCAGTGACCAATATGAAGAAGGGAGGACCCAGTGAGTACTGCAGGCCATCAAGTCGCCCCTCTCAGACCTTTCGCTGGCTGCGTGCGCTCCGTGCATGCTTGCTTTCCGGCGAACTTGCAGCATCGGCTGCATGCATTCTCTGGTCCCATCGGGAAGGGGAGAGGCGCACCCATCTCTCGGTCGCCATGATTCTGTTAGGCTGAACGAAAAGCAACATCACTTATTCTTATGTCCTCCGTGCCGTCGTTTCCATCCTCAAGACAGTCAAATCCCTCTCTCCCACGCCTCAAACCCCTGTTCCGGGCTGGACGGGCAGCCTTATCCCATGCGGGAAGCTCACATAGTAGCACGCCCGTAGCCGGGCGCAGTGAGTGTTACGGGGCTGGGTGGCCTGTCCACTGGATAAAGGCTCAGCCCCGGCGAAGCACCAGGGTGCCTGTCCAGACCAATGTCTCCCCCTTATTCCTATCATCCTTCCGGCTCTGATATTGATATGGTCTCGTCAGACCGAAAGGGCCTAACTATGAAAAAACGTATCTTAAATCCAACTGTTCTATCCTTAGGTCGCGAAAATTCGTATCCTCCACGGCTCAGGCTTCCTGTCACGGGCTGGGCAGCCCACATCATTACATAGCTCCTTCGGGACAGTCTCTCGTGCGGTGGGGTGGCAGTTGGTGTGGGCGTGGCTCATCCCGTGTGGATGTGGCTCGTCTCCTAGCCGCCCAGACCCACATCCCCTCGCCTTACTAATTCCAAACATTCTGCGGCTCTGATATGGTTTATTGTTTATATCATTTCGTTTCAAACCTTCATGAAAAAGACCGTAACGTCATAAGCGAAAATACCGAAAGTAACGAAAACTGTTCAGAACAAAGCAATCTGTGAGATTCCATAAAGGCGCAATCCTTTTTTTTGTGAATCATTAGGGCATACCCAAAGACCTGGTGGGATTTGGGAATATATAATCATAAAAAATGTAAGAAATATAGAATCACACAATATGTCCTCCCTGTAAAAATAAAACGACAGATCTTGGGCGGATAAGATTACTATTTATTATCGTTTTTATCGCCTAGTAAGAAAACCGCTCTAAACGGGAGTAAAGTTACTCGTTGTTAGCTGTAAGTCCCTCCCGACCGCCTGCATTGCCGGCATCGCCCGACCCTCCCGACCTATGCGCCATCTTGGTCTACTGAAGTGCTGGTTTGAGCCGTCCAGCAACAGGCAGCCCCCCGTCCCAGCAACAAGCATGCACTGACTCCAGATATTGATTCAGCAGGAGTCACTTCGGTGATTACAGTCTCCTGTTAAAAATTGAATGACCTGTCAATCTATAGCTATGTCGGCCAAGAACATACGAGTCTTTGCTACGTTTATCCACAATATTTATCGTTGTAAAGTGTTTTTCTTCGGTGCAAGCTGATCGCCTGTTAGCCGTTTGCCCATGCGATAATTCTGCTTATAGCACTGTGGCCTTCAGATCTGTCGATCAGTCATCTCGTCATCCTTCGATAAGTCGTCGCGTCATCCTTCAGATCTGTCGATCAGTCATGAGTCATCTCGTCACCGTTAGTCATCCACATTTACTTTTGCCCCTTCCTTCACAGAGAAGGAGGGCGGAGACACCGAGCCAGCCGGCTCCCCGTCCAAGGAGGACAAGAAGCCTGCCAAGGAGGCCGCCCCCAAGAAGGAGGCCGCCACGAAAGAAAAGGGCGGCAAAAGAGGTGCGTTAGATGCTCTCATACAATTTATGATGGTTCTGACATATGATTTAAATCAATATGATATAACTTCATGGGATTTAAATCAATATGATACCACTTCATGGGATTTCGATCGTCAAACGGCATCTGCTGCAACACCTCTAACAAACATGTGATACAATGCTTCGTTACTTGTTAGAGCTGGCTCAAATGTGTGTAAGTTGAAAAAGTCAATTTATATAAAAATAGCTCTCTAGCGAAACATTCAATTTTTTTAGACATAAATGGAATTATAGGCCACTCATGGATTGAAGATGCCAATTGTCATGCTTTATTTTTTTCAGGTGGCAAGAAGTGACCTTTGACAAAGTTTGTCAACAAGAGCTTGCTTCATGTCAAATTCCACTCTTCAAGGCACCTCAAGGCACCTTCAAGGCACCTGTTAAGATGGAGAATAACGCTTTCACCATTCCATGTCAACAAAGGCTGAAGAACAGGCGGAACTGCTTTGCTGGGCACGCCAAGGAGAGGGCATTGTGAGCGTAATACGGATTGCCCGGGCTCTGAAGGACCAACAGGCCGTTTGGACCGTTGGTTTAAAGTCTGTCCGCGGAAGTGTTCCAACATGATGTATGTACTCACCGAGTATACCGTGATACGAATAAATTATTTGTTTCCAACCGTGAAGTGTTTATGCAGAGACGACTTAAAACGTTGCATGACTCTTAGATTGCAATTGGTTGAAACTCGAGCGTTACGTAATGATGCAAAAACTTTATCAACATGACTGAACTATTTACCATCAATTCAGTGCTTTTGATTTAAACGCTCCCATTTTATACCTAAACAATTATACTGAGTATACTGAACATGAACATATTTTCCGTACTCACATTGGCTATTTCCTTGATATAGTTGAGAACCAGCTTCAGCGAGCTCGATATTGCAATCTTCAGCTCGGCCTAAGGCCACAGCGGTAGCACATATTTATCAGACATCAGGTCACAGACCTGACAGGCTTCTCCCCGCCACAGAAGGGGTTGATACGACCGAGCAATGGTTTTTAATCTCTCAGTGCCTAATCCAAAGTCAGTCCCTTCTCATTTTGATCCTACACCAAAAAAATGTTGAAGACCCATCTTGATGTAAATTTGTTAAATCTATATAGTGGTACAGTGCGTTGAAAATGATAAAATGTTAAAGTGCGTATAGTATGCGTGGTATAGTGCGTTAAAAAGGATAAAATATGAAAATAAAAAATGTCACCGAGGATCCTGCAATAAGCATTATACCCCCGCTGGAACTAGTAGCTGTTTTGTCATCATTGAAAGCACATAAAATAATACTAGTATAAAGAGACATGCCTGTAGCAGCTAAAGCTTGTATGTTGGTTCCCGTTTAGCAGCCTTTTAAGCCTTTGATGAAATGTGAAAGAAAACGAGCGATCTCTACCCGTCCGACGACACCCTTTGTCGGGTTTATTTGGTTCCTGGGGTATGGATAAAATGAAGCACACCCAAAAAGCCATAAGGGCATATTTGACTGAAGCTTTAGGCTAGTTTTTAATCATTGCAGCGCCCCGAATAAAGCCCACCACTGCACTCAGCACTGCAAGCAAATATAACGCGCCCAAGCACGGTCAAGTCGGCGATAAAAGGTCATCTCTTTTCCTTTACGACAGGCTCATTCAATGCATGTGCAGTAATTACAATGCTCAATGCACAATGCACATTACCCATTCCATGTCTACAATGCAGGTGCCTGCATAAATCAAGTTCAATGTTGGGAATGTCTTTTTGTTTTCCTCATCCTGTCCCGATGAGGCCTGTCTGTGGTACTCTGCTTGAATGTAGTGCTAGAGAGCGTAATATTAGTGAAAGAGTACCTACCTCAAACCTCGCATCATCAAGCTTACATTCCATCCACTAGATGGCACTGGCGACTAGCGCCTGAAGTTCCGCTGTGCCGCATTGCTCAAAGTCCAGTCACCAGATGGCAGTAGTGGAAAGCGCCTGCTGGTATGCTGTGCCGCCGGCCCCGGTCCCGAAAGGCCAAATTCTCGTTACGTGCTGCTATGCGAAACAAACTGGCGATGCCACCGAACCGCGATTATTATTGCATACCAGCGTCTGTACGGCATGCAAGATGATGGTTTTCATTAATTCAAAGTGTTGGCGTCTGCAGCGCTTGCATTGTTACCTGTGTTGTAAAATGTACAGCCGACAGTGTCGTTATTCAATGCTTTTTTTTAGTCAACATGCTTTAAAGTCATGTGCAATCCTGTTTAATAACTTATATATAAGTCTGTCTCACTTAAAAACTGCATACCTACTACGTAGCCGGCAATTAGCGGCCCAGCATCAGCCTTCGAAATAAAATAGTCACCTTACAGCACCATTAATGAATGCCTGATTTATGGAAAGGCCGAGTTTACTGTATGCCTGGCCTATTCAAATACATTAGCCTGAGGGGTGTGGTAATAACTGGTGTAAGCAAATTGACCACGGTCAAAAATGCATTACCAGAATGCACTAAAGCCAACATTTTGGGATGGTCTCGTTCCTAAGTCGGCTAAGAGCTTCGGTCCAGAAAATAAATTTATGGTTGGCATACAGTAAAATACATACCAAACTCGGCCGGTGATAAATTTTCAAGACCTCAGTCCTTACTGATTTTTGAACTCGGCCTTCGGCCTCGTTCAAAAATCCAGTAAGGACCTCGGTCTTGAAAATTTATTTACACCGGCCTCGTTCAGTATTATATAATACCATGGCATGCTAATTGTGAAGAGGCATGTTTTTCCGATCTACAATTACTCAGGCTTCAAGGGTTTTAGGACTCAGTAGTTTCTTTTGCCCACGCATTTAATTACCTAGGGGCTAAGGACATGGTTTTACATACGCAATTAACTTTCGATTGTTCCCAAGCTGCGCCTTCGTACGACCCATTTATCTTACTCATCCTTGTATTTATTTTTCATGGAAAACTGTTTGTAATTCTAAGCGACTTAACTACTCGATGCTTTCTAGGTTGCGGTTCTTTCGCGTCCGCGCAATTCAATACCTATTTCCCATGCATTTACTACATTAGAATATTATGACTCAATTCTAAGCGACTTGTTTCTTAGATTGTGACTTTGTAGACGATCGATAAGTTTTTAGGAACTTTTTTTGCGCGCGGCGGATCCATGGGAGAGGAAGGGCATTTCGGGGCAACTGCTTCCTCCCCGCAGCTCCCGAAAAGGAGGAAAATTTGCTGTTCAGAGTAAAAACTTACCGACTTGTATATTCTAATTTTTCAATTGTACAGGAATGTGTAGGAAACCGCAATGCGAGCTAAATTTTTGGGGGGTTCGGACACCTTTTTGGAGACATGCCCCCTCCCCGCAGAGTGCGAGGTCGCCTTTCCGGACCAACTTATGTCTTTTGCACGGTAGAATAACTATATAACTCTCATATAACTCTCATACCTCACGAGAGGTGTCAAACACCCCGCTCCAGCAAACAAATATGAGTACACAAATAAACTGATGATTTATTGACCCACCGCACACAGTTGGAATGAGCCCCGATCTTAACACAGCAGCGGGCGAGCTAAGAACTACTGGCCTTGAGACCTCCCGGCCAAACCTGGACCTAGCACATCACTTCAATAGTTGGGAACACTCAACACAGCCAGCTTGCAACGGTGGAAATATCTTTGCTCTTGACGACGCGATCCATGTGTGGCAAAACGAATGGCAAATGAAATGGTGAATGGGCGCAGCCTTGGGCAGAGGTCACTTCTTGCCACCTGAAAAAGAAAAGGGAACGTCAGCTTAGCTCGAAAACAAAAACTGGTGCACTTCGTGGCCCCGGACTGATGATCGAACTAACGAAATTTTGTACTTTTCATTGATTTTTAAAAGCTTTTGCAGTTTTCTTTTATAAAATAATAGTGGATTCTGTTCCCAATCCCAGCAAACTAAAATATTTTGGTTTACGAACGCACCTTTTTTGCCGCCCTTTTCTTTCGCGGCGGCTTCCTTCTTGGGGGCGGCCTCCTTGGCAGGCTTCTTGTCCTCCTTGGCCGGGGAGCCGGCCGGCTCGGCGTCTCCGCCCTCCTTCTCTGTGAAGGGGAAGGGATTAACCAGTCTCAGATGACGAAAGAGGCTGACTTATGGCAATATATAAAGGTGGCTCTTACCAGGCTGCAGGCTAAATCAGCTCAATCAACCTGGAGGCACGCGGGTGGCGCCAGGAGGCAGATTGCAACATCCATGAGCCTTATCTAACGATTTTCCAAAAGTTGGATTTCATGAAAAAATAAAAACACAATTTTATAAAACTATTTGAATTTCTGTACGCCGGGTTTTGTTGACTTTTCCTTTGACCTTACGGCAAATAATTACCGGGCCGGCAAAAATAAAAGTTCCAAAGGGGATGAGAAAACGATTTTGTCTACTACTCTACTGTTAGCAAGCATGTTTGGTAATTTTACATGGAAAGGAAACGACAAAGACGGTCCATATTAAAACAGCAAAGCCCAGTGACCGAAGGTATGTACTCACTCGCTGCCTTCTTCATGGCTGGTTGCGTGCTGCGGCGCCGACCCCTGACCGATAAATGCCGAGCCCGCCGCCAGGAGTGGCCGAGGCCGGCGGAGCTGAGGTGGCGCCACCGTCGGCCCGGCTCGGCAGCTTCGATCAGCGCCGAAGCTGGCGCCGTCCGGCGGCGGCGGCTTGAACGGCAGGCGAGGCCCCTCCGCGACCGGCGACGGCGCAAACCAGATCTGGCCGGTTCAGAGCAGAATGAGCCGACTGTACAGACGCCGGCAGGGACCGCGCCGGCCGCCCGATTTCCCTTGTTTGCGTACCTGTCTGCTGAATTGCGCTTAGGAACGCTATCTTGTGGTTCAGAATGGCTGGTGCCACAACTTTCGATGAGTTTCGACGTGAGAGGAACAATTTTGAGCTTGAAAACTCCACCCGTATCTCGCATGTTTCTGTTCAAATGGATGAATCCTAATAGCTGAAGGAAGTAGAGGTGTGACTAGTATCAAAAGGCTGATCGCTTACCGGTTCCACGCTTAAAACGTTGTGACGGCACATTGTTATTACCTGCGGAAAACATTGTGGTAGGCATTCCTGATACTGTTTAAAAATATTTTTATTGACTTTTGAGAAACATTCTAGAGCGATTTAAACACCCCGAATGTGTCGAGTTCGATTATACGGATCGACTGGTATGCAACATGACCTTTTCTGGTCAGCTTATGGCTTTGAACCTAAATAAAATTTTCATTTTTTTTTTTTAGCTCAAGTTATAAATCCATTCGACGAGTCTCACCGACACAAACATGATGCGATGCCGGTAAAAGCAACGCACCACAAGACTTGTGTCAAAAGTTATAGCAGAAAAGTCAGTTCAAGTTTTGCCCTCTTGAGGCTAAACCGCTTTCTCTATGGTCACATCCAAGATCTTGACCCAGAAAGAGCTACAAAGGAGCTATCGCCAATGCGCTTTTCCATGACCCTGTTGTAGCTCTATTGATTTTCGAGTTATGCGCCAATTAGTCAATGAACTAGGCAAAATTTGTCCTTTGATGACCTCCAGTGACCTGACATTTGACCTGACGTAAAAATTAATCCAAAAATATACCCAAAACTTACTCCGAGATTTTCGACGCTCACTCAATCGTCGCTTATCACGTGTCACTATCGCGTGTCGCTACGTGGCTCAAGAGCCGGGTTAGACACGAGGTGTGTTTAGTGCCCTCGTGAATTATGATGCGCTAATTATGAACAAACTTTCTTGCGATGAGCTTTTTGTACATTTTTTAAAAATTCAGTGCTAACTCGTCCCCGAAAAAAGCGAGAGCTTCAGCTAATGGGACTGTTCCATCAAAGCTGTTGTGAAAGTCTCAGTCACATTTGTGGTTGTGCCAACTGCCGGAGTCTATGGAGTCTGTTCCAGTCGCACTTCCTAACACCTCTAAACTCCTCCAAGATTGCTTCCCTGTTCCAGTGGCAGCTCTAGCCCCTACAAAGTCAAGAAGGGCCCTGCTCCAACCTCCTCTGTCTTGCTCTTGGAGGAGTTTAGAGGTGTTAGGAAGTGCGACTGGAACAGACCATATATGTACATACATATATGCATACCTATATTACGTATATGTAAACGCTGGCTATCGAAATCGCTGGTGCCATAGGTGTCCCAGCGAGTCCCAGCTTAAGTCATTACACTCTACAGTGCGTTGGGTGTCCTAGAAATCCCTGGTGGCCGTGGCTGTCCCAGAGTCCCAGCTGTAGTGGGCGTCATAGCCCCAGAAGCTTTCGCTGTCCAATATAATCACAGAGCTCCAGTAACCGTGGCTGTCCCATAGCCTCAGTCCTGCAGTGAATGTGGCACCTAACAATCATGCCATGCTTTCGCTTGCCAGTCGACCCATGCATAGCCACATTTCAATCGACGTATTGTCTTACATAGAGACTCGGGAGCAGCGCCAGCGTATCCGGTGTCCATCTAATGCCAGCTTTCATGCCAAGTTGCCGCATCAACCTAGCCCGTTTAGATCAGGTGAACCAAGCTAATCGTACTAATCACATGATTATTCAAATATTGAACTATTTCCCCTCATTTATAATACAGATAAAAACTTTCGTTTATTTCGTGTCCTACTTTAGAATCATAATCGAAGTACTCTTTATTGACTTATCCGAGGTTAGATCTCTGCTCTGGGTCGTACTCTCGAATCAACTGCTCTTGGTGTTCCTACCGAAGGCCTGACACGATCAATACAGTCGTCCAATAACACAATCATAATTTATTTAGCACCACTGTACACGCATTTGGAATCGGCTCAGAAGCTCGTCACAGGAACACAGGCGAGGGGGAACCGCTGGTCTCTCAATCAGCGGACCCGTGCCACCGAATACTTTAGGGTGCCGCCGCGGCCCGCGGTCACCTAGCCTGTCTAGAGGGGTCATCTGGAGACCACCAGAGGCATGGCGTTCCACGCCCTCAGCCACTCAGTATTCACCGGAGCGCGGTCCTCCCGGCTCCGAGCTCTCCGCAGGCTGGTGATGGCGAAGGCATCTCTTCTCCAATGTGAAAGGCGGCGCGAGCGAGGTGTGGAATAATGAAATGAGTGATGGGGCGGAGACAGGTCCTCCGCAGTCATCGCCCGTGGTCACTTCTTGCCACCTGCGAAAATAGACAAAGGGACTTCAGTTTCGGCTCAGCGATGTCATTTGACGTGGTTGCACTATCAGATGAATCATTTAGGGAAAAATAAAAAATTACAGCTGAAATAGTTCAAATATTGTGACTTGGTTACTGTACTTGCAACATTGTCTCACATAACTGAGGTTGCTGAACTTGATCAATGACTAACCCATAACTTAAAAAAAGAAAAGTTACAAAAACAAAAATTCTACCAAAGTTAAAGTGGGCGATTTTTACCTTTCTTGGCGCCCTTGGCCTCCTTGGCGGGAGCCTCCTTGGCGGGCTTGGCGGGCGCCTTCTTCTCAACCTTGGCATCATCGGCCGGAGCATCGGCGGCGGCGGCTCCTCCCTTCTCTGCGGGCAAAACACGGCGAGTTAGTGACTAGAGGGGTAAACAACGGTGTCAGCGAGGTGCCGGGGCATTTAGGGCAGCACTGTCTTCCCGACTGGGAGAGGGCTGCAGGGGGCAGGGCATGCTATCGATCGTCGCCCAGACATCCGATGCTCAGGGAAATATACATACAAGAACCACTTTGTGCCATACTAGTCAGTGAGTAACAAGTAAATGACCAGCGGACAAGAACGAAAACGTTCAACCTTCCTTATTTACGAACAGGCACCACAAAATCTGACCAATGCTCACACCTACTGATGGAAGGTCTGCGGCCAAAGACCAGCAGTAGATACTCACCTGGCTTGCCCTTGCCCATGTTTTCTGGAGCTGGTGGGTGGTTGCTGGCTTCTCCGGAGGTCTCCCTGCGCTGACTGCCCTCCGTCCGCCAGGTGGAGTGGCTGGTCGCCTCGGGTGGCGCCTCCGTTCCGGCCGACAGTGGCGCTGACTGGCGGCCAGCCGCTGAACTATGTAGGGGGTGCAGCTGCTGTCGATCGGAGCAGCGTGCGGCTCAGCGGGTGGGGCCGCCCGGGCCGCCAGGGGTCGTGCAGGGACGCGCACACTTCGCCGTCAAATTTCTCCCGATCGGAATCTCAGATGATTTCGATCAACCAAATTTGTTAATTCAGCGCATCATGGCTTTCTGGGGACATGATTTCAGCGCCGGCAGCGGTCTCCGCCTTCCGCCGTGAGTCTGCATGGCTCCTGGCCGTGACCGAGCGTTCCAGAGTCGTGAACCGGATCGAACCGGTAGCCACCTCCCGGCGCCGTCGCCGCTGGCCTGAGGCGTCTTTTGACCTTCGGCAATGCCCTCACCGTCACGACAATCGTGGTTGGAGGGGGATGGGGAGGGGAGGGGAGGAAGGGGGACTCGGAAGCGACGGGATTAGGGAAGGGCAGGGGCGCGGAAACTACTTTCAGACGGGAGAGGGGAGGGGGACACCAATATAGATATCAACCTAGCCCTAGGGTACCTCCAAATCTAGTTTTCCTACCGGTTACCTATTTTTCATCCCTTGGCTTTTTCAACAACAAAAAGAAAACATTTGCATAAAAAGTGCGGTATTCCGTCCCAAAGTTGTGAAGCACCTCCCCCACGGCCCCAGATTTTTTTTTTTTTTTGGGGGGGGGGGGGGGCAAGCTGCCCCCACTGCCTCTCTCCCCGCCCCCCGGTTCCCGCGCCCATGGGGAAGGATGATCCGTGATAGTGCGATGGGGCCTAGTAACGACGTATTTTTACGAGCGAGCGAAGTCTTTTCAATATAACGGAAAAATCTCAGTATGAGCGGCCCGGCGCCCGGCCTGTAACCCTTTTGAGAGGCTTATATCTCAGCAACCGCTGGACCGATTGGCCTGCGGTCTTTTTTGCTGGGTAGCCCCGCCCCCATCCCTTCTACCCCGTAATTGACTTATACTTTTGATACATCTAAGTGACCGTCGTGAAAAGTCAAGGGTGTTCAAGAAGTTTTGCAAGAGTAGTGATTTTGAGAGGCCCATATCTCAGCAGCGGCTTGGGCGATTGTCTTGCGGTAATTTTTATAGGGTAGTTGCATCCCTTCTACCAAAGGTCGGATACTCTTGATCTATGTGAGTGACCCCCACTGCACGTGCAAAATGCAAAAAGAAGAGGTGCCAAATTTGTTCCCATTTCAGTAACTCGGTAATTACTGGGGCGATTTCGCTGAAACTTGGCATACAGGTAGGCAACCACCAGGCAATGCATTCCCATGTGTTGCGGTTAGGGTGCTACTGCACGTACGCACGTGCAGGAGGCGTTTCCAGATCTCGAGAACGGCTGGGCCGATTGCGCTCAAATTTGGTACACGGTTGGGGACCGGTTAGTAGGGTGCCGTGCAAAAGTCAGTTTGGACCCCGTTTGCACGTGCGCACGTGCAGAATGCCGCTTCCAGATCTCAGGAACGGCTGGGCCGATTGCGTTCAAATTTGGCACACCGCTAGCGACCGGTTAGAAGGGTGCTTTGCACAAACCCATTGGAAGTATCCTCTCGCCCTTCCGCACGTGCAGGGCTCACTATCTCGCTCGCTCGTTCTTCGCCCAAAAGGCGTTTTACTGGTGGTTAGGGAAATGTGAATCTCCTAAATATCAAATACGTTCATGCTTGGATGCATGCCTCTCACCCTCATCGGCGTTTTCGCAGCCGCTAACGTAAGGGAGCCGTCCCCTCCCCATCCTAGCCGCTCGGTCCCTGCTAGACTAGCTTCGCTCGCGGGAAAAACGAGTTGCAGACGTCAGGAAGTCAATGATCCCCTACTTTAAAGCCCTGACTCCTATGTCATTGATTGACCTTCCAGGTCAAATCAGCGACACACAATCCGATAAAAATGGAACCTGCTAAACCGTCTTAAAGTCTGATTTATATTGGGGTTTTCGTGGTCCTCATTTTGAATTCAGCATTTGTAGGTATTGTTCAGAGATGATGTGTTCATGCGGTCGAGTAAGGTAAAATCAAACATTGCTAATGATGAAAAGTCTGGAATCGAGTGTGCGCTGGCTCACATATGTGTCAAATCGTTATTCTGGCCTGGGAAAGTCTCAGGAAAGTTATAACAGGTGAAAGGTCATGCCCTTTTAAGGAAAGGTATACAATGGGGTAACATGAGCGTACTGGAAAGATGCGTCGTGACCCGCCGCTTAGGTTTCATTAGATATTTTGATGATAGATGCATAAGTATATATTTTAAAAGTTTTGTATGATGTAGCCCTTGCGCATAGCTGGGGCGTCGCAAGTTATGGAAAACCCATTGGAGGGATACGTTCGACGCCCCGGCTATGCGCAAGGGCTATACATCATACAAAACTTTTAAAATATATATTTACGCATCTATCATCAAAATATCTAATGAAGTCATACTCGAGGGCAGCGCTTTTCGAGGAGCGCTGTGGCCCGAAGGTTTGGACTTTGAATTGTGAAAAACGCCCGCCCGCCGGAAAACGCAAACACCGCAAAACGCGCAAAACGCACGCCCGAAATGCCAACGCAAACGTCGCAAAAAATAAACAAACGCCCGCCCGCCGCAAACCGCAAATAAAAAACGCAAAAACGCCGCAAAACAATAAAACCGCCCGCCAACCGCAAACAAATTTAACACCGCAAACGACGCAAAAAAGAAGAAAACCGCCCGCATCGCCCGCCCGCCCGCCTGCCCGCCGCCAAAGACAAACACCGCAAAAAACACAAAACGCCCGCCCGCCGCAAAACGTAAACACCGCAAAACGTGTAAAACGCACGCCCGAAAAGCCAACGCAAACGGCAAAAAATCACCCGACCGCCGCAAACCACACAGAAAAAAAACGCCGAAACGCCGAAAAAAATAAAACCGCCCGCACCGCACCGACGCTAACTGCTAACCGAAAACGACAAAAAGTCGCCCGCCAGCCGCCAAACGCAAACACCGCAAATAAGCGCCCGGCCGCAGCAAGATAATAATTTATCAGCGGCTGGCATACCGCTAGGCTGGTCATTTTCACAAATCAAAAAGATATCTGCAAAAATCTCCTAGATGAAAGCGCCCGATTAAAAAACGGATGGCACGTGCGTGTTCCTCGCCCCCAACTTCCTTCAGGTCAATCGTCATTTGGGTCATCTAACGCATTGACGTATCTGCAAAAATTTCCTAGATGAAAGCGCCCGAGTAAAAAACGGATGGCACGTGCGTGTTCCTCGCCCCCAACTTCCTTCAGGTCAATCGTCATTTGGGTCATCTAACGCATTGACGACCGGCTGGGTGGAATGAACATTGCGCCAAGAAACGTAAGTATATTGTCAAAAAGAATCCCCAGAGTGGTGGATCCCAAAAGTTTGAAACTACCACTTTGGCCCACTGGACGACACCTTAAACAGTTGCCGACTGGATGACACCCATTGTTTGGTCACCCACGCCATAGTATGCATCATGGGTGCGCCGAAATGACCAAAAGTCCCAATTTCCGGTGTGCAGGGTCATTTTCAACGGCACGTGGCACGTGGTTCTGGACTTTTCCGGCCACTTTGCGACATACCCATGGGTAGTGCACCGAATGGTGGTTGATCTGCATGTAAGAAAATGGGGGGTCGTTTGGATCGTTTTCGAGCAATCTGCCGTGGAACGCATTTTTTCATTTTCCCCATTGGCTTAACACGGGAATTTTTAAAGTCACGTGGCACGTGCACCAGATGGTCCGCGGAGGGGAGACCCATACCAGAACGTAGATCACCTGGCCCACTAGAAATCCTGAAAAAATCAGAACTTTTGGACCAGCCGTTTTCAAGAGCATCAAGTTGTACTGATCTCAGGCAGCTTTTGCCAAATTGTCAGGGAACTCAGATTTGTTTTTCAATAGAAAAACACAATTCTAAAGAATAGTGTTTTAACTATTGACAACAAACCTTCGGTTATTTTGTTTAATTGCATATTGACAAAATGTGTTTAGTTTGTATTTACTCTTAGCTGAGCTACTCCGAGCAGGGGGCATGTTTTCAAACCTAATTTTGTGGACAGGGGACGCTCTTAGGGGAAGCCGGGGGAAGCCCGGGCGCGGGGGAAGCCCGGCCACCTCGTTTCCGGCTAAATTATTCACAATAAAATGCTCAACTGTTTGTCCTTTCAGCGTGGCAGCTAAGGTAACGCCAGCAAAAAGTTAAGGCTAACAGAAATTGCATATTGTTAAAGTTATAGCGCAAAAATGATATTTTAAGGGTTTTTAGCTAAAAAGTGAGATATGTTGCACTGTTAATGTTATACCATACAGTACTAATATTTATACGAATGTTATGTAAGGACCGTTTAAGTGTTTGTAGTGAGGGGTGACGAGGCAGGCTGGCTTAAGTATGACATTTTTTTCGAATATCGCTGTTCTAAAATAAAAATTAGCACATTGGGGTAACACCGGGCGAGTGGCCAAGCATACCCCCAACCGAGAGCAATGCCACTAAACCATTGTTTTCCATGAGATAATAGGTACTGAGCAGGATTGGTTTACACCTAGATCAAAGATAAATTTCGAAAATAAACATGTTATCATAGACAAAGCCAGTCATGTCACTTAAGGTCAACTAGGGTCAAACTACGTTTTTGCAGATAACGCGACAGACAATGAAGCTAGAGCTTCAAAAATGGTGTCGTTGTGTTCTTCTTCATCAGCCGAGTCGAATGATATGCAAATTGATGCATTAAGGTAAAAAGAAAAATAATTTTTAAGGAATTTTGAAATACACATTTTTGTGAATTTTGCATCACGATTTTCATCGACCTGTACTGTATGTGTGGTAGACGCTAGCTAAAATACCAGTAGTGAAATAAACTCTAAGATGTCCAGAGCTAATCAGTACCTTAATATTTCACTTTCCGTTAATGTTTGGAAGACACATAATGGTTTCATCAACTCGTTGTAAAGCGCTGGGGAGGTGGCCGGCGTTACCCCTATGCCGGGCTTACCCCAGAAAAATCAACACTTTTTTAAAACTCGATTTTCTCAACCTTATACTTATTCCACGAAACCGAATTTTTGGGAAAACACGGCCAATGAACTTAACTAGCTAACAGGCTATCAACATTTTATACAGCACGTATGGTATGTAATAAAAATGAAAAAGAGCTTACTATGCCGGGCTTCCCCCGGCTTCCCCTATATAGGTATGAAATATGGTGTGACGGAAGGCCACTCGTGATGACATCGGGGTAGGGTGCGCTTGTGCTGAATAAGGCCTGCGCTCGATGCAGGGGGCGCTTGGGTCACCATTGAACAATGAACATGTCTTATGACAGGAGAACGGTATAGCAGCGCTAAGCTGACGTCCTGGACAGGTGGCGCTGATGTCTTATGGTCGACGGGGATATCGGAAAGATGACGCTTACGCCACCACTAAAATGGTATGCAGAGTCTATAGGACAGTTGTTAGGACTCGTACAGGACAGAGGAAGCTTCCTCCAATCCCCTTAAGTGGGTATCAGTCGTGTGAATGCTCGTTTCCCCTCAAACCACATCCAGGTTATAGATAAACGGTTACCATGATCAGACGCTAGCAGGGAAGCTTCTTTCGGAACAGGCTCTCTTGCGGTGGGGTTGCCTATCCCCTCCCCCCTGAGACGGGCTCAGCCCGTCCCCCCCCCCCCCGTCCACCAAAGTGGCCGCCTAAACCGGTTCCCTATCCTATTCTTATATCCCCGCGACGCTTGAATGGTCTGACTAGACTGAAGCAGTCTAAGCCGATTAAACAAACAAAGCTGGGTATTTTGGGCGAGCGATTATGCACCGTCACATGGACATGTCTGAACGTTTCCATCATGCCAGGGGTGTTTGCCCAAAGTTATCGAAGCTGACTAGTCTGACTGGTGATGCTCTTTTGTGTGTTAGGAGCGGAAAATAACATTTTTTCCCGTCCGTCCAATGGGCAGTAGCGGCGGAATACCTTCAATTAAGGGGGGGGGGGGCACTGCCGACTTTTGGTCCCATTCTTTCCATGCAGCGCCCATAGGGCTAATGTTAAAATGCCAAAATCAAAGGGGGGCACGTTGCTCCGGTGCCCTCCCCGTTCCGCCGCCTATGCCAATGGGCAACATCAATGCCCAGGTACGCATTGTTCTGCACAGCCATATTTTTTTTCGGCAACGTATGTGTATGTAACCTACCATCGTTCAGCAGTATCCATAGATTTACGGCCTCAACAAGTACCGTACGTATACCTGCTTGTATGGTTCGAGGCTACGCCTCTGGTTTGGATACTGAGGGTGCGCATTTGGCAGTGCACCTGTTATCTGTTCTCGACTGAAAGGCCTGATGCCTGATCTTTATTGAAACACCTGTTCTTTATTGAAATCGCGACTGCTGCCATGGTTGGCGCTATAGCTCTGGCCACCAACCGGCGTACACTGTACACTGTGTACAGTTTCCTCTGTACAGTGCGACTGTGGGCGTTTGCCGGTATCGCGTTTCCCTGGCGAGGAGCTATATAACGTACTGTAGAGCGTTTCCCTGACGTCTCCTGCAATCACATTTCCCGGAGTTGTTTGTCGCCGTGAAACGTCTCTTAGATTGCTTTCCGGTAGGTGCGAGTAAGTTCGGTGAAATTCTAGTTGTGTGCTTGGACCTATTGTGCTTCACTGCATTCGTTAAGTGTAAGTAGCATGCTGCATTTTCATTTAATCAACTTACAAATTACCTAAATAAAATACACAATTGAATACATGACATAGTTTACAATTAAAGCTCCCGAAGAACAACTTAACTTCAACTTCAAACTTTTAATTACATAAATCTAATGCAGCATTTGGTATATGCTGTCGCAGCTCCCCATATGCATACTCTGTGATGATTACTGATTGACCAGTGACCTTTACCACTGGGCAGCATCAGTGATGGAGAGACATGGTCTGGTGAGCTAAAGAGTTCGCAGCTTTTCTGTGCTTCGTCATTTTCCATCCTCAGGACAGTCCAATCCTTCTTCATGCCTCGAACCGCCTGATCCGGACTGGACGGTGGCCTTCATTCGACGTGAGAAGCTCCTCACTCCTCAGTAACCGGCTCACGTGCGGTAGGGTGGCAGTTGGCCTTGTCCATCGCGACGGGCTCAGCCACGGCGGCGCACCAGGGTGCAGCCGTTCAGACTTCAGACCAATGTCTCCCCTAATTCCCATCACCTTTCCGGCTCTGAAAAGGCCTCGTTAGACCAAAAGGACCACCTTACCCTACAAAGAAAATTTTAGGCATTATCCCCTGCCACGAATTCCCAACGCGAGAAAAACTTACGGGACAACAAAATAAAAAATAGCTTACTTACGGCCTTTTTACCAGTCGTTGACTGTCACGTGGTCAAATAAACCTTTATGTATGTATGTATGTACTTTGGGACTTAATTTTTTATCGTCAGTTGCTACTTGCCTGAAATATTCACAGACATTTTTACCTCCACTTAGCGCGCGCGGCGAGGTGATAATCGCACCCATATGTATTGTGGACTTCCCCGTCCGTTATTCCCACTAAGCCTACGACTTTGCTGGTCCCAGCACCGCTCTCAGCTCGGCTTTACAGAAAATACGGTAAAAACGGTCCACAAAGCACACGGCCTTCGTCGCAGCGGGGACTGTCCCGGCTCGGCTGAGACCTCCGTAATAGCGCTGCATCGTGAACGACCCGAGGCCTGCCACGCCTGGGCACTGGGCAGCCGGAGGCTGTTCGGAAAAGGAAAGCACTCCCCTGCAATGTCTCGGGTTATAGGTGAGATGACGTGCGTGGGTCGGGTTCTAATACCAGGATCACCGCCGTCAACAAGTCCCCACTGAATCGACATCAGCGCAGGGATCTCACCGCGGCGGGACGCACGTGCGCTCGCCACGTGCGGCGGCTGACACGTGTCCCGCTCCTGTCACGTGAGGCTGAGTGCCGACCCCTCGCTGTGTGTGTGTGGAGTGTGGTGCTGCTAAAGCTACTGACAGTAATCCCGTCATTCTTGTCTGAGAACTGCTCCGTATCAGTATTGCCAGAACTTATGATTATTGTAGTTTTCGTAATGTAAAAGGCTTAGAATATACTCAGACATCGTAACACAAAACACGCATGAACCATCTGTATCCATCAAAATACGTAAGCTATACAAAAACGCAATACAAAAACGTTACGTACAAACTTAAAAACTACCACACATTTGCTGCCGGCAGCATCGCCATTCGCTCGCAAGTCTTCCTCAGGCACTCCTGCCCGCAAGCTCGTCAGGATGTGACCTGACGGCCAAAGGGTCACTCCCATCCCCCAGTTCCCTGGGGTGTGACCTGATGCGACCCCGACCAGACCTGGCAGCACCACTGATGGCCTCACCGAACCGCTGTTCAAGCGCGGTGGCACAGCCGCCAGATTCAACATCAGTGAACACCATCGGCGTCAAAACGAGAGGGGTCTGCGTCGATCGCGCGTGTGCGAGAGTTGAGCCTTCGCCGGTGTCGATTTTGTGCAGTGTCGGGGCCGTCGGCTGCAGGGACTCGTCTTGTGTCGGTCGCAGGGGTTGCGTCTGTGGGCGAATAGGCAGATTCTGTGGTGGTCGCAGGGTCTGCATCTCTTGCTGAACGGGCAGCCTCGAGGGCAGCCTGCTCTCTGTAGGAACAGACGACGTCAGTCGATCTTCAGCCGGTGGCAGTCGGTCGTCAGCCTCTGGTGCTGGGACCGACAGCTGCAGGGCCGCCGGGTCATTCACCAGGCCCAGCAGGAACCGGTGCGTCTCGCGGCGCAGCGCCCGCAGCTCTCGCTCAATCTGATGATGGCGGCGCATCGCTCGCATCAGTCGCAGGGCGGCAGCTCGCAGCACGGCCCTAGGCAGCGGCCTCCTCCGCCCTGGACGGAGGCCAGCCGCCGACACGGGCGGGTCGGGGGCTGACCCGACCCCGGCCCAGGGCAGCGTCTGGACGGACGAGGGGCGGCCTGGTGACTCATTCTGAAACGTCAGGCCGCCAGGAGGACCGTCCAGCTGCGATGATGGCCGCATCTGAGGGCACACGGAGAGGGGATGCTGTTAGACGTCAGGGGTCAGATGCAATGGAGCACTCCACAACAAATCGTACCAGCTAAAAGCACAGCCCTCGAACTTAAGACATTTTTTTTAAATAAAGGAATTTATCTACGAAAAACTATTTTCAGTCTTTGGTATAGAGGCAGTGTTTGCAGCAGAAGCGTATTACGCGTTAACGAATCATATCGCGTAGTTCAAAACCATCTGCATGCTGATTGGCCGACGATTGACGGCTGCATTCCTTGCATTCTTCCGTAAGGTACCGCATTCCTCCGTAAGGAATGATTTCCGAGCTAAAATCGATATAATTATTTGACTCGGATACCCGTTTGAGTGTAGAGGCCTTAGATTTGTGCTCGTCTCAGCTCAAGCTACAAAATTGCTATTCCAGTTCAAATCCAATGTTAAAAATGGTATAGTTCCTTACATTACTCTGGTTTCAATGGCCTGACTGACAAAACAAGAGTTCATGCTATACAGGGCGCATTGCTCAGGCCTCAACCCCATTGTCCGATTAAGCAACTCCTGGTTGAATCGGTGGATACTTAAGACGCGCAAATTTCAACGTTCCTATCAAAGTCAGACACAGTTCGTCCTACTCAGTGGCATTGAAATTCAGCTGACTGCGGCTGCCAACCACAACCATCCGCATTTACCCTCTATGGTTCTCATACCTAATATCGAGCGCCGGAGAACCCCAAACCCGGGTTCTCATGAGGTCCCATGCTGTATCAGCTGTGCTACGGGATCGGATAGCTAAGCTGGTTGCGGATGCCATAAACGAGTTACGGCTGCTACATATATAGGATTCTATAAAGAAATGTATTTATATATGGCTTTTATGTCTTTTGCAGCACAACGTGACACAGCAGCTCGTTACCGATTCATCGATCGCCTGAGGCACCCGGGACTGTGCTCCGGTTATAAGCTAACGTCAATACTAGCGCCCCGACGGTAATCAAGCGAATCGCTTCGTCGGCAGCTGACAACCCCCTCCCCGCCCGTGCCACTCACGTGCGGGGGGGGGGGGGGCGGTCGTAGCGTCGCTGCGCCATTGAGGCTGGTAGGGTTGGAGCGGAGGGGGGGGGGGGGCGACTGGTCCCGCCCGGGCCGGGTGACGTCACAGCCGGTCACGTGCCGGCTCACGTGACGGGCGGCCGCCGAGTCGCGTGCAGCGCCCGACGCGCAGCGCGCTGCTGATAGCCCAAACAAACACTGGCAACAGCGCCAACCGTCGCAGTGATGTTGCACAACAGGTATCACCTTGAACACCAGCTGGGCTGTGTCGCGTCGGCATGTACTGCCCTGGCTGCATTGTCGTGTCGCCATCGACGACACTAGTGGTAAGGTTACAGGACACACTCGTTCTGCGTTCTTAGCTACTTTGGGAAATGGCTTGACCCGGATCGGATTGAAAGATTATTTCAGGCTAAATAATCCAATAAGGGAGAGCCCAGGCGAATGGCGATCGTCGCCAGAAGAAGGACCAATCTCACTTCATGAGATCAATGCATGGCATCAAAAGCTCATAAAAAATGTTTCATTAACATATATTCATGTTTGTACTTATGTGGTTAATTAATATACACGAACTTTGCAGGAATTTGTCATTCAAAATTTGAATTAATGATTTGGGAGGCGAATATTTGATGATAAGCCCGGTTCATTAACTTTGGCCATGGTTTCGTTCGGGTGAGTGCTGATATGATGAACGTTGGGGCAAAGTTGCTCAATGCAGAAAGTTCTGGTCGGGCAATGTGATAAGGGATATGATAAAAGTAATGTGGCCGATCTGACATCATGTGCCCCGTGTAAAAAAAAACACATGTAAACAACAAATAATTTGAGTCTAAAGATACCTATCAGCAACAAAGGATTTGAATTAACCACTGCTGTAAGTTTCATTCCCTGAAAACCAAACCCTGGTTGCCAGTTTACAGTTGACACTGAGAAGGTCACAAAGTCGTAACATTTTGGGACGCAAGATTACTAGAAAAAAAAAATATTGGACCAGGCATAATCATATTGCAGGGTTTTATGTATGGCGACACAGCTCAATGACCTAACTTGACCTGAAAATAAGAAAGGTGCCAATCGTCACGGCTGCTAAAAGATCAGGGTGTCATTTCCTGCTTTTTTTCTCGAGCTCCTCCAGGACAATCACGATACAAAAACTATCGGGACCGGGTGGCACCAGGATCTCCTCGGCAGGCAAAGGGCTATCCGGCACATCACAACCAGCGCTTTTTCTCCTTATGCGAGACAATCCTGTGGCTAGTTCATGTAGTTATTCATGTAACAAATAATAGCTGGCTCATTCATTTGAGTGTATTTTGCATGGCATAAGAAACAAAATTAAATCATAAGCAAAACATTTTACGGTGTTAATTGTTTGAGCATACAGCGTGCCTAGGGGTAATATCTAGCCAACAAGGAAATGACCACAACCGTTAGATTTCGGCATTCGGTCCACCAGCTTCATTAACAGGTATGTGTACACAACACAATCCTTTAACCCGCGCATGACTGGGGTATTTTCCGTGACGCGAGTGACGGGGGGGGGGGGGGGCTCTCCAGAGTTCCCTCTCGTATTTCCAATTTTTACTGGTCGGATTGTCAAAATTCAAACGGTGTCTGATAGCCCTGGAAAACTGTCAGGCGAAACCTATTTTCATTGACCTCGAGGTCACCGATGAGTGATGACGTCACAGGTCAGGTCAAAGTAAAAATTGTCGGCATTTTTGCTTGTTTACAATTTAGGCTCTGGCCGCCGGCTGACAAGTCCGATCAGGCTCATTTTTGGTTTACACACTCCTTGATATATGCCTTAGATACCCTGAGGCACCTGAGGGTACCGAGCTTTTACTCTGAATTTTTCAGGTCAAGGCCAGGTCATCCTAAGTCACGAAAATTGTACCTTTATCATGTATCGGTCACGTGCCGCATGTTTTATGGTCCACTTTAATCGGAGATTTCAAAAACAATGTCGTCTGTGTCATTTGAGGTCATTTTCTGCTGAATTTACCGGATGTCAGGTCACTTTCAGATCAGAAAAGGTCAAATTTTGAAAATGAATTTTTTCAACAAAAAAGGTGTCTAGCAGATGCAGTTTTAGCTCAGAAACACGATGGTGCCATTTATATTGCTGTATGATGTCAAAAACGTACTGAAAAATGGTTTTGCAAAATATATAATTGTAAAATTTTGACAATAATGCAAATAACTTGGCTATTTTGGAAGATATTGGGCTAAAACTTGCTAGAATCAGTGTGTGGTCTATCATATATATTCTGTTTTTTTAAACATTTTTTTTAATCAAAAATATATTCGTTGGAGGTGGGCTATGGCTAGTTTGAGCATAATTATAAGTATTATGATGGTTGAAAATGACCTTATGCTCATGATACAATGAAATTATATTAAAATAAGTCCAAAAAGTATTATGATATATTTCGACTTGCGTCGTCTTCAGAATGTACATTTTCGGAATTGTCGACGAGCAAATTCAAATCCTTTCCAAATAGCGTGCAACATTTTTGTGAAATCTCTGGCTAACAAATTACAGTCAGGTCATACCTATAATAAATTTTAGCAGCGTACAATACAATGCTCCAATATCACTGAAGATCGAATTTATCCAATTGCTCTTCAGTGATATTGAAGCATTGTATTCTACGCTGTTAAGATTTATCATAGGTATGACCTGACTGTAATTTGTTAGCCAGAGATCTCACAAAAATGTTGCACGCTATTTTGAAAGGATTTGAATTTGCTCGTCGACAATTCCGAAAATGTACATTCTGAAGACGACGGAAGTCGAAATATATCATAATACTTTTTGGACTTATTTTAGTATCATTTATTGTATCATGACCATAAGGTCATTTTCTACCATCATAATATTCAATAATATATTTTTTTTGTAATTGTAAAAGCATATTTTAAAAAATTCAAAATTTCGAAAATTCGAGATAACAGTTTGATAGCTACGTGTAGGTATGTGTAGTCCACTGACGTAAAGCAATTGGATCTAGCTTTAACCCTCGCCGGCCGAGGGGGGGGGGGGCGGGTGCCGCCCCCCCATAGGGTTTTTTCGCGATAGCTCCGAACACGCTGGCGATAGAGAGCTGAAACTTGGCATACCTGACCTTTGATCCAAGCCGGATCTTTTGACACCAACCGCATTTTTGGGTAAGGTCAGGTCACTGACCTATGACGTCATAAGTGAACCTCTGCACGGTCTTCAGATGTCGCAACTTCGCAACGCCCTCACTGCCAGAGGAGATGTCACAGGGAAATGAAACTTGCAAGATCTAGTATCCATTATGAGTCCCACAACTTGTATATCTCGGATTTTTCCTAAAGGTCATATGAGGTCAGGTCATTTTCGTGACCTCACCATTATAAGTCAATGGGGAAAAATTCAAACTGCTATTCTGGCGCCGGGAACGATCTCCAACTATCTCAAGCACACAGAATCGTGATTTGATGCACTCCTTGCAAGGTTAGATGCGTCACTTTTGCAATGTTGACCTTGCGTGACGTCATTTATGACGTCATCAAGGTCAAATTAGTTTTTCGTCAATAACTCTTGATCAAATTGAGCTAGCGAGTCGGGAAAGGCACCAATGGACTCAGGAAGGCCTGCCGAATCGAATGATATGCGACATGACCTCTTTCGACCAACTTCGTGACCTGGGGGTGCTGACCTGACCTTGACCTGAGGTCAACACCCCAAGTTGACCTGACCCGGACAAAAAGTATATCATTCGACGCGCCTGAGCGAGGCGAACACGATGCTGCCAAAATCGGCGCTCTGCGGCCGTTTTTTGCGAAGTTATTCACCAAAAACTGAACCGTACCCTGGGGCACTTGACCTGACCTCAGAGGTCACCGGTTGACCTAGGACCTTAAAATCGGGTACCAATCTCTGCGTCTCGTAACGGCGCACACGCTCGTTTATTCCGCGACGCGCT